GTTTTAGTATTATTTACATCTAAGGAGGCTCATATGTTTATCGATATTGATTGTCTTTAAAATGTTAAGGGTACGAGCTAAACTTTAACAGACGCTTGAACTCGGCAGACGGGGTCACTGGAGGTCAAAGTCACCGTGCATGGTCACGTGATCACCGGAAACACAAGGCTCTGTATCTCGGGAACGAAACCAGCACAAACGGTACTTTCAACGGCACAAACCGGCACAAACGTAGCACTAATGAAAGAAGTGGGTTTCGTCGTTTGTGCTGTCTGTAGGGAGCCAACTTCACGGAGCCTTTAACTTGCCTTTAAATATTCAGCGGTTGGAGTAAATGCATCGACCCAACGGTAATATCGAGTGAGGCGTCATGAGAATAAAAACTGCGAAGGTATTAAAATATTAAGATCTTGTTTGATCCTTCATGATGCTTTTAAACTTGTATGAAACCCACGAAATTAGTATTCTGCTTACGATGCCAAAAGACACCTAATTTAGAAATTTGTGACTTCCCACAAGACTTAAACACTGAATTGTTATAGTCGCATTAGAGTGCTAACCAATTCATCCTTTAATTGCAAGAATGGTCTGCTAATAAAAGCGTCAAATACATACTTTGGATGTATTTTAACTCTGTAAAGTCGTTCACTTGTTATATTTATTTATACTTATATTTATTATCTTTATGTTATTCATGCATTCCGAAACTTGTAACATCTTATGTGTCTTGTTTGTTTCGGGACAGGTCTGGTCATCTACAGGCGGCTTTTTGAAAAACGTAGATATACGCATTTGTTTTGGCTAATAAATATACATGTTAGCTAATTAAACAAAGACTTAGCAGTAGATAGCCCTAAGAGGGTCTGACAACAACGATAGCCAATTAGGCCACGGCTACGGCCCCATAATTAGTAAATGGATTAACTTGCTGTACACACGTAGCAACAGTAAGAAAATGGTAAATGGCTATAGGTCACGCCCCTCTGAACTCTGTTCAGGGGTGAGGCAGGGCTGCCCACTATCCCCCTTGTTATTCATGTTAGTTATGGAGCCCTTAGCCTGTGCCTTGCGCCATTAAAACTGTACTTGATTGTAGTTTTACTATTTGATAATCATAGTATTAGTTTGCACTGTTTGCTCTCTTCGTGTGCTTCTGCAGTTAGTTTAACAGATATGGGTGCTGTGCCACTGGTACCATACTGTTGTTTACACTGTTATTGCTATTGCATTTACTGCCTATTGTCGTCTGCTGTTCTATATATATATATTTATATATACTGCACCCGAGGGACTAATGAGAAACACTTTTTTATTATACTATGCACCTGTGTAAGTATAATGACAAATAAAGCTGAATTGAATTAAAGGGATACCAGTGCCTGGAAGTGGGGGAGGAGGGGTAAAGACGTCCCTGTACCGGGATGACGTCACTCTCCTCCTCTCTGACCACGCCTCAGTGTTGTGATCAGTTCTCTTTAGCTTCCTCTGCAAAGATGAATAAATCCAAGAGTGAGATTTTTTTTATCAGAACTGGAAGGAGCCAAAAGAAGAACATGATCTCAGGCTGCAAGGGAAGGGAATTAAGGTCCCTATTACTCAAGATTTCCATGGAGGGGAACAGTATATGTTTAAATTAATTTTTTGATGGCCTTGCCTTATGGTGGAGCTTATTTGCATTGCGAAGTATGTTTTCAAATGCTACTTAATAAATCCTTTTTGTATGTATCTGATGTACGTTTAGGAAATTCGCTAGTTTGTTTTAGCCAGACTTAGGTTCCCCGTCATCTATTCTGTTAATGTTCTCACTCAATCTTCCTGAGCGACCTGGAATAAAAGCTCAACATGCAGGAGTAACACCAGTAAAGACAACTCATCTTCAGTGGAGGTGGAGGTCAGGAAGTTAAAGCACAGTTATGTCTTTTTTTAAAAGGGAAATTAAACCACAGCATCCAGTTCGCCCCAGCAGGCTGGCAGGAGAGGGTCAGAGGGATGACTCATAGTCACCACTGCCCTACAGCAGCTGCTGGTGGTGGCGAGAGCGCAGGAACGAAAGAGGGCATTTTGTTATAGTTATGAGCTCACAGTTAATTGCTACGTTCACTGGCAGTCATAGTGATTACAGTTATAAACACCTGTACTCTGCCCACGGTGCTCACTCCTCCAGGAAACCGGAGCTATTTTGTCCCCGACGGTGTGGCCCTACTCCTGAGCGGGCCTGTGCAGACGTATCCCTGCAACATCGACGAAGGCTTTGAAAACAACAGACCTCAAGAATCGACAACTGTGCATGAAACACAAGCACAGGGTCTTGGTGCAGGATCGCGAGAGTTAACCAAGCAACAACGACACGTTGAGGTCTCAACGACTGCAGACAACACAGCCGGGTCCAGCGGTTCCGCTTTATTATGGTAACAAAACACAATTCGTATTTACATTCGAGTGAAAGAGAAAACAAACAATACAAATACGGGGCAGCCTTCTTCCTCTCTGCTGGAATGGGGGCGGGGGCTGGGGGAGAAGGAGAGGGAGTTTCAGTCCACGTACTTCCCCAGGATATCTCCATCACGGAACAGGAAGTAATCCTGAAAACAGAAACACACAGTCCAGTGAGCGCGCCGCCCAGAGACTCGGCCCCTGACCTCCTCCCAGGACTGCAGCTGCGCGGGGACACACCTTGTCATCCAGCGTCACTTTCGTACCCCCGTACTCGGGCAGCAGGACCTTCTCCCCCACCTTGACGCCGACCGGCTGCAGCTGACCACTCTGTTGGGCAGAGAGAGAGACGGACAGACGCCGACTTTATGTTCGCTCGGTGTCCACACGGCCTGCTGCGGACTCCTCTCGGGATTAAAATCAGAAAGGCAGGGGAGTATCGGCATCTCCAGCCCACTCTGTTGCACTGATGCACAGGCAGATAGACCGCTTTAGAGCTTAACACACGAGGGCATCCAGCCTGCAGTCCCTCAGGCTACCTTCAGATCTCCGCCCATCTCCAAAAGCTCAAGACCCAGCCGTAGTTCACCTCTTCAAGCTGCCCAGGATTTAAAGAGGCCTAGGAAACTGGTCATCTAGTACACCTCAAGGACTGTACCCCCCCCCCAATCTCGTCTATTAGAACCCAGCTGCGACACATTTTAACACTGCGACAGGTGCCCTGTAACAGAGGGGGTGGCGTCAGTGGTGCACAACAGCGCGAGCTGCAGCATGCCTCTTCCCCACATCCCATAATGCCCTGGGGCCCCTCCTGTAGACAAGTGCCTAATGGGAATTAGGAATGTACATAAAAAAACACGCTTAAAAAAATGTGAGTTTACTCAACTGGTTGTAAACACAAAATACCTAACAATTTGATTAAAAGGTCATCCACTATGTCATTTTTCCTCAGTCTTTTTCTTTTGACATTTTTTTAAAAAAAAGCAGTTTATCCTTCTGAAGCGAAGCAGCGCTACTTTCATGCGTGCGGACCGGGACCGCCCCAGCAGGACCCCCGAAATCACCTTGTTGACACTCCCGGGCCCCACCGCCACCACGGTGGCCTGCAGCACCTTCCCCTGCGACTTCTCGGGCAGCATGATCCCGCCCTTGGAGACGGTCTCCGCGGCCAAGCGCTCCACCAGCACGCGGTCAAACATCGGGAGGAACTTCCTGAACGCCTGAGGGTCCGAGAGAGAGGGGGGGAGAGA